TGTGTTATTTTTTTTCCTGCTGTTATACCATGGATAGATTATCCCTTGAATGTTTGCATTTGCAAATTGTACCTTCTTCTATGATTATATGCTACGAAAGCAAGTTTTTCTGAGTATTTCTGACTAAATATTATTTTGAATAGTTGGGTGGTTTTTGACATTTTTTGCGATGATCTCTAATTTTATATCGAATTCATTTCATTTATATTGAATATTCTAATAATAATAATAAGAAGAAGAATTAATTGCCAGTATATTCCATTGTACTTAGCGTTGTCCTTTTTACTGAACAGATTGAGTATTATAGCAAAGGCTCAAATGCGCTTAGCTAAATTGGATGAGTTGCGGCAAGCGGCAAAATCAGAGGTAGAAATGCGTTTCAAGAGTAGACGCGAAGAACTTGGCACAAAAGTTCAATCACGGGTGCAGAAGGCTGAGGTCAATCGCATGCTTCTCCTCATGGCTCACAGGCAACGAAGAGCGGCAGTGAAGGAGCGGACTGCCCAATCATTGCTACAACGGATGGTTGAGGAGAGAAAGTATAAAGATTGTGTTAGTACTGCAATCTACCAGAAGCGTGCGGCCGCCGAGAGGAAGCGTATGGGATTGCTAGAAGCCGAGAAGACTCGTGTGCATGCAAAAGTAATGAAAGTGCGAAAAGTAGCCAAGTCTGTCTACCACCAGCGTGAAATTGACCGGAGGAGGATGAAGGATCGGTTGGAAGATCGACTTCAGAAGGTATGTATGCATATTTAGTTATCAATAAAATGCTGGACTAATTAATAGATATGTTTGTGAATTTGTTACATTTCTTATTTTGTTGTTGCTATTGTACTTTTTTGGTCATTGATCTTCCCATGTTCCTTGGGCATATATTTTATTGCGATGCATAGGCAAAGAGACAAAGGGCAGAGTATTTAAGGCAAAGAGGAAATCTTCATACCATTCGTGTTAAGATGCACCGGCAAGGGGACATACTGTCAAGAAAATTAGCAAGGTAAGAAATATATTCTCAGGTACTGAGGATACTGTACTATAGTTGTTTTGCTGCTCCTATAATTGGACTAAGGCTTCAAAGGTATCACACAAGTTTGGTTTTGATTAGAAGTAACTGTGTGTCAACATATTTGAGTTTCTTGGCCTGAGCTACTGTACTGAGTTTCAGTTAGTTTGACTTCTGAAGTCTAACGTTAGCTTGTATAGTTAAATTAAGATAGTTAATTTCACTTAGATCAAGATTGAATGTGACTAGATAGCCTTAATTCTTCAAGAATGTTGCTCCAAATTATATTATTATGGAACTCAGTGCGTGAGTGCGTAGAACTTGGTAGGCTATATTTATCCTGGTACCTGTTGGTAGGCTTTTTCTCCATGAAAGTTGACTGGACCATCAACACTGACAGGCTCATAGACTATACATTATATACATTCCTGTCTTTTATAGCAAACAAAATCATGGGTGCAACATAAAACTGGTTTAGAGAGTCTAAACCAATGTTACCTGGAGTGGGGAATGCTTATCTGCCAATACGA